GGGCAAACAGTTTTTCAAACCAGTGTATATTGTTTGTATTTTCCTTGCTTTCATTTCCTCAAAGGAGGGAAATTTTGTTAAGGCAGCACATCTCTAGAAATCTATCGAGCCTGTTTCTTTAAAGAGCAAAGGGGATAAAGGAGGACACGGCACTGAACCCCTGTCCTCACTCTCTTTTCTGTCTTCCAAGTCAACCTTGTCTGAGTGCATCCATCACTTTGATGCATGGATCAGCACTAAGGTGACAAACAAAACATTTCACCTTTTCTTTTACCAGTATCCTCCTGTTATATCGTGTGAGGCTCTGCATTGTTAACAGTCTGCTTAAATTAACAAAGTCTAGCACTCCAAAATACTTCAGACTTGTAGTCTAATTAAAATAATTTTATTGTTTTCACTTACAGTTCTGCTATGCACAATTAAAAGTTTTTAAAACAAATTTCTTTTGGTTTTTGTTGTTTTTTTGCTGACAAACTGCAGACTATTTGTAACATTTATAATTCATGCCAGAGCTTTTAGTGAATCAATAAGTAGCAGAATTAAATTGCTTCTTGCAGTAAACTCCCTTTATTTGATAATCCTGCTCTACTTCAGGACACATGAATGAGAAGGGAACCTAGAGAGATGTGCAAATAGAAAATCATTTTCTGTATTATTCAGTTTACCTATTTCCTGCTGTTTAAAGGGGGGAAAGTAAACATCCCGGTAATACAGGCCAAGAGTTAAGATGTGCCATTGTAAATATTAGGAGGAAGACACCCTGGCTAAAGACTGTGAGACAAAACAGCACTTATTGTTGTTTTTTGCTAATATTCCATTCATTCCACTCCTAGGTTATATTCCTTTCTCTCTCTTTCTTTCTCTACCTGTCTCTTTCTCTGTCTCTAATGAGCTGTCTTGATGGGCTAAAACAGGACAGGTGAGCTCAGCACCTCAGTGCTCATTATCTGGGTGGACAGGTAGTCAGGCAAAGTGCATAGGAGAGACAAAGGCAGCTCATTCTGATCTGTTGTCATGGTGACTGCTACAGCCACTAATGAGACTTCAGCATCCTTCACCATGCAATCCACTGTGAGAGTCTGTGAGAGTTTATGATGTGTTAAAGCTGAGCATATCCACCTTACATTAAATCACATACTCCAGCTCCAGAGAAGCAGGCAAACGTTTGATTGTGGCTCAAGAGTTGG